ATTGTAGTTTCTTAGCCAGTCTGTTTGCCAGGTCATAGGGCATTGGTGGAGATGGAGGAGTGGTACCAGGAGTCTTTGAGGATAGACACCACATGTCTGCTTAAATCATTAAATATATTTTAATCTGTTTTTCAGTCAGAAATTAGTCCCAGAGTAGCTTATGTTTTGTCCTTTTTACAAGTCAAAATCTAAAAAATGGAACACACCAGGGAAAGAAGAATGAGAGAGTGCATAGCTGTCTTTCTTACATGCCCAGGTGTGTAAAAAGATACTTAGTATAGAAATAAATGGGAAAAAAGAGATAATGAAATTGTACCCCCAGAGTTGACCCCATACTATTTGACCTTTAATTTTTTCTCAGTATAGTAGGATAAAATCTCAATTCTTCAATAGCCAGCCTCTGTGCTTTTATCGACAATTTATTTTGCCTACTATTCAAGGGGCAAAAAGGTTTTCTATTATACATTTCTTGACTTGAATCACAGTGGGAGATCTCTCAAACTCTTTGGATTTAATCTTACTGCTACATCAAAAGGTTATTCAGAAGAAGTTGATCCAATGAAACATCTTATTATGCCAGTAATGGCTAATAAGACCAACTGGCTAAACTGCCTAGACAGGTATGTTATCAAGCACTGGTGAACAGCTCAAATTATGAACCGTTGCCAGGAAAAAGTAGCCTATTCTGTAGCTGAAACCTCATTAATGTGTCTATCAAATAGCAAACTTGGTCTGTTATTCATGTATAAAAACATACAATATTTTTATTATGCTTAACCACTGCCTAGGAGATTGTTTCCATTCAGTGGTTAAGATGGAATATGATGGTACGGGATGTCATCTCTTCTGTTTTCCAATTTTCTGAAATTTCTAGACCATATTCCTTCAGGAGCACCGCGGTAATATTAGGTGGATCTAAAGCCCAAAGTAGGTGTGCCTGCCTCTTGTCTATGGCACTGCCATAACAAATCAAAAATATCTATTTTGAATTGGATTATAGATCTAGTGTAGATTGTATTGTCGAAGGCTTTCATGGCTGGAATCACTAGGGTGTTGTAGGGTTTTTTGGGCTATATGGCCATGTTCTTGGGGCATTCTCTCCTGACGTTTCGCCTGCATCTATGGCAAGCATCTTCAGAGGTAATGAGGTCTGTTGGAACTAGGAAAATGGGTTTATATATCTGTGGAATGACCAGGGTGGTACAAGGAAACCATGAAAATGAACAAAATCTGGCTACCAGTATTAAAAAACACAACTCTAAAATTACAACAGCAAAACAACAGAGAGGAAACAATCAGGGACAGCTAATCACCTCTCAACAAAAGATTGCCCCAGGCACTAACAAGCCACACCAAACATCTGCCAGGCCATCAAATGCTAATCAAGGTGGTCAGTTAAAACATTCACACCTAGCTCCAGCAGACAAGAGTCCTTTGTCCCACCCTGGTCATTCCACAGATATATAAACCCTTTTTCCTAGTTCCAACTGACCTCACTACCTCTGAGGATGCTTGCCATAGATGCAGGCGAAACGTTAGGAGGGAATGCCTCCAGAACATGGCCATATAGCCCGAAAAAACCTACAACACCTTAGTATATATTCATTCAATCCAGTTTAAAGCAGATAATGTGGATTATTTGTATTGATCATCTGGATTATATGGCAGTGTAGAAGGGGCCTGTATCATGCCTTTCTCTCTTTCTCTCTCCTTCTCCTTCATCATCTTCTCTTGATGGAAGTTGAGTAAGTAAGGGACAGGTTACTCTTGCTCAGGCCTGAACTGTACGTTGCAGCACTTGGCTGACCTTTATTTCACCCTGTCCTATACCCTAAAGCACGTTCTGTGCATTAGTTTCTCGGCCAAGTTGCAATTATTCAACCTAGTCTTGTGTTAAGAGTTTTCAGATGGAATTAGCAACAGCTATGTTCCCCTGTGCTTCTTTAGTCAAATATCAGAAAGTCAAGTTGAAGAGTTTTCCCTTGTTGCGCTCTAAAAGATTTATAGTTATTTATTAAAAATGATTTTAAAAGGTCCACAGGATTACGAACAGTATATTTGACAGTCCCTGTTCTCTGGCTCAAAACCTAAAATAAGACAGGATACACAAGGGGGGAAAGATGAAAGATAGGACTGGAATTTAGATCAGCTCCAGCTTTGTCCCGGTAGGACGGAGATTTGGCTGGTTGCTGCTTTTCCTCTGTTTCAAGAACAGTGGCAGTGGGAATTTGGAGAAAAAGGCTTCCAATAGTTACAGTAGAGAGATGTGCCCGGGTGCTCTTTTTTCTCCATCTGATCTTTGCATATCTTCCAGCAAATATGACACACCTGTCTTGTTAAATAATTACATCAAACATCAGAAACTTGACACTTTCTCAGTTTCCTTTTCCCGTACAGTGAGTGCTATGCTTGGATGTTAAAATGTGTTTTGATTAAGTAAGTTGATCTGGAGATGGTGTTTTTAAATTACTTTTGTTATCTCAGTTCTTTTAGCTAGTTTTATTAGACACCTCTATTTTCTCAACCAGTCTTATAGTGAAATTTATGTGGGGAATAACTAGGAACTTACCTCTGGCTAACTTAAGGGTTGTTTTATATGCCATTTCCTAAAACAGAATAATAATTCACTCATCTAATTTGACTTGCCTTGGGTTGTAGGAGTAGAAGAGGACTAAAGACTTCCTAAAATATCCCAGGAACATTCTGGGGGATTTGAAGGAAAAAATGGAGTTTATACCAACATACGTATCAATTTAGAAAGAATATGAAGGCAGATCCTGTTTGATTATGGCAGATTCTAAAGTTTTGCCAGGTAGAGGCCAGATGGAAGCAGCCAACCCAGAAGGCATAGAAAAACAGTCATCCAGGTGCCCCGTTGGAGCTTTAGACCTTTGGGTTTGGTGAGGACAGTGGTGTATCTGGGTGCGACTATAGATTAAATGTCTTATATAAGGAGTTTTCACTAATGTTCTAAGAAGATTGTAGCCATTGCTTGCAACTCTTATTTATTTATTTATTTATTTGTCTATTTACTTCATTTATACCCTGCCTTACTCACCCTGCAGGGGACTCACTTGTGTTAACCTATTATAATTTTTTTCCTACACCTATAACCTATTTATTTATAGCCTATTATAATTTGTGTTAACCCTATTACAATTTGATTTTTCTACATTTGTGTTAATTTATTATAATTTCTTATTTTTTTCTAATTATTTTTATTTTATTTAAGTAAACATACATTTGCAAGTGTTTGTTGCATACAGTGCAATACTTTCTATCTATTAATGTTCTATAATCCTTTATCTGATAATATATTTCCATTAAGGGCTCACAGTTTACTATCTAAATAATACATAAAAAGATATCATAGATTCTTACTTTACATCTATTTCTTCCTTGTCTACAGTCTTATAGGATCCTCTATATACATTTTTAGTTTAACTTTACATTAAGGTGTTGAATCATTGGTTACCATTCATTAACAAAGTTGTCTAATATTTCTCCTCTTAATAATACAGTTATTTTGTCCATTATCACCATATCTATAATATATTTTTCCCATTCTTCTAAAGGAGGTATATCTGGGGTTTTCCAATATCTAGAGGGAGCCCCCGGTGGCACAGTGGGTTAAAGCAGTGAGCTGCTGAGCTTGTTGATCGAAAGGTCGCAGGTTCGATTCCGGGGAGCGGCGTGAGCTTCCGCTGTCAGCCCTAGCTTCTGCCAACCTAGCAGTTTGAAAACATGCAAATGTGAGTAGATCAATAGGTACCGCTCCGGCGGGAAGGTAACGGCGCTCCATGCAGTCATGCCGGCCACATGACCTTGGAGGTGTCTATGGACAACGCTGGCTCTTCGGCTTAGAAATGGAGATGAGCACCACACCTCAGAGTCAGACATGACTGGACTTAATGTCAGGGGACTACCTTTACCTTTACCAATATCTAGCATATATTATTCTAGCTGCCACTGTTTTGTAAAACAATTTTTTTCAAGTTTTTCTTTCGAATTCTTCCTCAGGCATATTCAAAAGGTATATTTGAGGTGTCATTTTGAAATTTGTGTTTAACATTTATTCAAGATATACATGGATCTGTTTCCAGTAATTTTTTGCTTTGCTGCAAGTCCACCATGTGTGGTAGAATGTACCTTTTTCTTTCCCACATTTCCAACATTTGTTGGAGCAATTATACATCTTAGCTAGTCTCTCTGGAGAGAGATACCATCGCAGGTGCATTTTATAAACATTTTCCTTTAGGTTTTGACATGCAGTGTATTTCATTCTTCTCTTCCATGTCTTTTCCCACTGGGACATTTTTATCTCTTGGCCTATATTTTGGGCACATCTAACAATAGAATCTTTTACTATTTCCTCTTCCGTGTGGCAAGTCAGTAAATTTTTGTATATATATATGATATAAGACCTTTTGGTTTCTGAAACATTGCCACATCAAACCATGTTTTCGCTGTCTGGAAGCCTCAGGTTCTAAGTTGTTCTTTAAATTTCTCTCGCAATTGTCAGTGCAGAAGCCAATTGCATTTAAGGCACATTTGGTTCAATTCTTCTAGGGATTTCATTTCTGGATTTTCTAAATCAGTCTGGATCAGTTCCTTGTAGGTTAGCCATTTCCCTTGGAGGATATTCTCTTTTTATAATATGCCTCCTTTGGGTTTGGTAAGGACAGTGGTGTATCTGGGTGCTGTCCAGCAATCACTAGACTATTGATTAAATGTCTTATATAAGGAGTTTTCACTAATGTTCTAAGAAGATTGTAGCCATTGCTTGCAACTCTTATTTATTTATTTATTTATTTATCTATTTACTTCATTTATACCCTGCCTTACTCACCCTGCAGGGGACTCATTTGTGTTAACCTATTATAATTTTTTTCCTACACCTATAACCTATTTATTTATAGCCTATTATAATTTGTGTTAACCTTTTACAATTTGATTTTTCTACATTTGTGTTAACTTATTATAATTTGTTAATTTTACAGGGAGAAGGATTTTGATGCTAAGTTTATAATTTCAATGGAGAAAAATAAAACAACTATTACAAATGTGAAGGTGAGTGTTTTCAGCTACTATGGACCTCTACATTTGCAAGTTTCACTTTGGTGGATTTGATTATTCACAGATTTGTTAAAAGTGGTCTCTTTAGGAATGTTTAGATCCTTCAATGTGACTCAATTGTCAATGTCTGGCAGAAGTTGTTGTGCTGGAGGATCTGAAGCAGTGGTTCTCAACCTATGGGCCCTCAGATGTTTTTGCCTTCAACTTCCAGGAATCCTAACAGCTGGTAACCTGGCTGGAATTTCTGGGAGTTATAGGCCAAAATACCTGGGTTGAAAACCAATGATCTGAAGATTCCTGAAGAGAACACCTTGTCTAGGAATCCTTTGGTCCTCCATTTTAACTCTATGGTTCACTGGAATATGACCAAGGCTCCATTTACACACCTGCTTTGAACTGGAATATATGGCAGTGTGGACTCAGATAACCCAGTTCAAAGCACATATTGTGGGATTTTCTTCCTTGATATTCTGGGTTTTATGGCTGTGTAGATGGGCCCCTAGAAATTTGTAGAAAGATGTTCAAGTCAATTTTTTTAAAAAAGGGTGGGTGGGCTAATTTTTTATTTTTCCTCTTTCACACAGGGGTCTTGAACCCCTAACTCCACTGAATTTGGACAACTTGCTTTTTCTATTTATGGGGTGATGCAGATATTTGATTTGGACCGGGACCTTGTTAACAGCTTGTTTATTTTAACTCATGTTGTACTGTATATGTATGTGTTTGTTAAATGTTTTTGATATGGCCAATAGGCTAATCAATAAAGCGTGCTTACTTACTATTCATATCCAGTTCAGAAAGGTTAGAACAGAAGAGTGTCAAAGTACAGTAGCAATGGGTCAGGAAGGCTATGCATCCTTTGTCATAGATATTGAATTTGTGGTATGTTCAGGAGGTTTAAACTGTGCTCTACATCAGTAAGGGTCTAATTTATTTATTATTATTATTATTATTATTATTTATTATTTATTATTTATTATTTACAGCATTTATATTCCGCCCTTCTCACCCCACAAGGGACTCAGGGCGGATTATAGTGTACACATATATGGCAAACATTCAATACAACATATACAGACATACACAGAGGCTATTTTAACTTTTTTCTGGCCGCCAGGGGAGCTGTCGCTTTCATCGTCCATCTGCGACGCTGATGAAGTACCTCCGCATTCCTCGCATGCTTCCCTGCTGGAGTGCTTCTTTATGGCCTCATAAATTTGTTAATTTTAGCCTCCCCACACTTTTAAGGTAGTTCCTTATTTTCCTACTTGACGGATGCAACTGTCTTTCGGGTTGCAAAGGTCGACAACAGGCTACACAATGGTTGGAAACCCACTCCAACCCGGGCTGGCTTCGAACTCATGACCTTTTGGTCAGAGTGATCTTAATGCAGCTGACACTCAGCCAGCTGCGCCACAATCCCAGTGCATTAATTTGGTTTGTTTGATTCAGATGTAGTAAAAATGGTTTATATAATTTATATTTAGTAAACAGCATTATAATTTTGTTAATCTTATAAGCTACACACAAACACACACACACAATTTCCCGTTCTTCCCATACTGAAAAGTAGTTTAACTGAAATGTATGACTAATAAGTAATTTCAGTAAAGTGTATTTAATCAGCTTTCTAAACAGAGAGAAATTATAAGCTTTATATTTGAATTTTAAAGAAGAAAACATATTGAAAATGAGCTATTGATATTAATCATAAATGTACAAGTATATGTGCTTATTGGACATATGAAACTGAAAGCAAAACAGTACCTAAGTTTATGCTGCCATATGTTCACTCATTGTTACATCAATGCATTTTATGAATCAATACATTTTAATGAACAAATCTTTAGATTGACAACATTGTACTTTGTACTTCTGGCCTTAAACAAAAGACACATAACAGCTTTTGTTATTACTGTCAAATAAAGCACAAGGTAAAGTAAATAAGCAAAGGACTTTGGAATCTTGTTTGAAAATTCCAAACCAGAAAAAAAGTGTAAGAATTAAGTTCTGCGAGGAAAAGAGTATGATATAAAAAGTAAACTGCAAACCCAGTTCCTCATTACTCCATATTCAAAGAGTTGTTATCTTTTATGTTTAAACATTGCTTTGTTGGACTAGTAGAGGAGACAGATAATTTCAAGATATGTTCTGTTTTAGATTTGTGATCTCCAGAGAAGGTACTGGAAATACATATAATTATTAACTTAAATTGAAAACCAGCTATGATTTGCTGTTTCTTTTCCTTAGATACCTGAAGGAGGAACTGGAGATTTGGGAAGGGAACGGACAAAAACATTTACATACGATTTCTCCTACTTCTCAGCTGATGCTAAAAGTCCAAACTATGCATCTCAGGAAATGGTAGGCAGCTAGAAATTTATAATTTTCTTTCATAATGAAAATGCAGTGTTAAATTTTGTTACGAATTACTCATCTGTCTGCATGTTAAAAATGGCGAAGATATTTGAGATAGAATTGAAAACTACAACTACCTAAATTCTAAAGTAGTGTTAGACATGGCAAGTGTTTAGTATGTGATTAATTTGTTTATCTAATATACATTATGTCTTTCTTTTAAAAATAGTCCTTTTGATGTTTTCCCATGATCTCTTTTTGCCTAAGAATTGTTTTTATGACCTCAGTTATCTAGATTTTTTATTTATCGTGTCAGGCAACCGAACAGTTGTATTACATTTTTGACAGAACTAACAAACAAACATACAACAGACACAGAGTTTGCAAGCTTGGTAGTTGATTAAATGTCCTTTGACCAGTATCTGGCCACTTGGAGTGCCTCTGGTGTTGCCGCAGGAAGGTCCTCCATTGCGCAGGTGGCAGGGCTCAGGTTGCATTGCAGCAGGTGGTCAGCGGTTTGCTCTTCTCCACACTCGCATGTTGTGGATTCCACTTTGTAGCCCCATTTCTTAAGGTTGGCTCTGCATCTCGTGGTGCCAGAGCGCAGTCTGTTCAGCTCCTTCCAAGTCACCCAGTCTTCTGTGTGCCCAGGGGGGAGTCTCTCGTTTGATCTCAGCCATTGTGAGGTTCTGGGTTTGAGCCTGCCACTTTTGGACTCTCACTTGCTGGGTGTTCCAGCGAGTGTCTCTGTAGATCTTAGAAAACTATTTCTAGATTTAAGTCGTTGACGTGCTGGCTGATACCCAAACGGGATGAGCTGGAGATGTCTCTGCCTTGGTCCTTTCACTATTGGCTGCTACTTCCCGGCGGATGTCAGGTGGTGCAATACCGGCTAGAGCAGTGTAATTTCTCCAGTGGTGTAGGGCGCAGACACCCCGTGATAATGCGGCATAAATAAATAAATAAATAAAGTTATCTAGATAAATAAAATATGCATAAAAGAATCAAATATTTACTGATAATATACCAGTATTTGCAAGGCTTGCTAAACAGGCTGAATTTCCATTTTGTGGTGTATAACTGAAGCATTTTTTCATGGTCCACTGTAAACACTGCACCTTGTTGCCAACAGATTCAAGTAAATGCCTAAATGTCACTGAGCGGTATGCAGAAACCTTTTCCTGTTTCCAAACTTTTTGTGATCCCAGAATTAAGCTAAGGGGACCCCTATTTGAGATTGGGACCCACAGTTAAAGAAGCAGTGCTCTGAATCAGTGCAACTCAATGTCACCAAAGAAGTCCAAAAAAATATTGAAATAGATGTCCCAGTGTACACTAATACGGGTTCCTGTCTCCAGTACACAGGAAGTAAATAATGGTAGCTCACTCACACCAGAAAGCCTAAAAAGCTTTGTTCTACATTATTTAAAAAAGGGTAAAAGATAAAATATCAAATTATAAAAGCATAAAACACACCAATTAAAATGTAGCCATTTTAGTTTATTTAAACAAATAAGTTAAAAATTTCCCAGCATCCACAGAGAGCAAAATTCAGGCCACCAATCTGATTCAACAGATAGTGACTGAAGCTGATGACTAGTTGGGTTGATGTGTATGCATGGAGATACAGACTATTTAAGCTTCTTCTTATGCTCATTAAATACTTCAAGTAAATTATGAGTTCATTTTTAAAGACCCACCCTTAAAAATACCTGTTTAGAAACTACATTGTAGTTTGTAAATTTTTAGAGTTTTTTTTGTTTTGTTTTCTTCTTAGTGTATTTGATAGTTATCGGAAGTATGTTCTTTGAATCTTTCATTTCAGTGCTTTCCAATGTTAACAGTTAAAGTAACTTTACTATCATAGTAACACTAATAGTAATACTAAAAATAATTCTTATTCTTAGTAATACTAATAATAATACAGACAATTCTTGTACAAATATCCGACCTAAAATGACTAATAGTTATGAACAGGAATGAGACAACAGCAAATGAGAGAAATCTACCCCTAGGAAGGAAAATTTACTCCTAAAAAATTTAACATGGGAAAAAGTGTCTCCGCTGAAACTTTCTCACCAATCTTCATTTCCACATCCAGCCACATTTTTCAAAATCACAGGGACAGAAAGTGAAGTGGAATCTTCTGAACAGGGCACTGACAGCAAACAAACACCACAGGGGTATTAACCCTTCCATATGCTGTCCGAAGAGAGAGATAGATAGATAGATAGATAGATAGATAGATAGATAGATAGATGATAGATAGATAGATAGATAGATAGATAGATGTATATGGGGTTGGAGTTATACTTTAAAAGGTACCTGTTCCAACTTACATACAAATTCAGCTTAAGAACAAACCTACAGAACCTATCATATTAATAACTTGGAGACTGCCTGTATTAACATATTCACTTTTTAATAATACTAAGGTCCCACTATATACTGTTTGGCTTTCTCATAGTTTGTTTACTGCAATCCATCTTTCCACAGTATATGCAGAGCCCCCCTCCTTTTATTTGATTTCTAGGATGGGAAGTTGTTAATTCTTGTTTGGTGGATAAGCAGAAGAGTGTGATGCTATTGCTCTATTATGTATTTAATAGTGGGATACAACAGGGATACCAGTGGCATGTATTAATGCTATTCTAAGGACAAGGAATTGGCCATAGTTTGCTTTCATAGCAGATGCCATACTTTAATGTTGTTGTTTATTCGTTCAGTCACTTCCGACTCTTCGTGACCTCTTGGAACAGCCCACACCAGAGCTCCCTGTGAGCCGACACCACCCCCAGCTCCTTCAGAGTCAATCCAGTCACTTCAAGGATCCCATCCATCCATCTTGCCCTTGGTTGGCCCCTCTTCCTTTTTCCTTCCATTTCCCCAGCATCATTGTCTTCTCTAAGCTTTCCTTTCTTCTCATGATGTGGCCAAAGTACTTCATCTTTGCCTCTACTATCCTTCCCACCAATGAGCAGTCAGGCTTTTTTTCTTGAAGTATGGACTGGTTGGATCTTCTCGCTGTCCAAGGCACTCTCATCACTTTCCTCCAACACCACAGTTCAAAAGCATCGATCTTCCTTCGCTCAGCCTTCCCTATGGTCCAGCTCTCACATCCGTAGGGGACTATGGGGAATACCATTGCTTTAACTATGCGGATCTTTGTTGCCAGTGTGATGTCTCTACTCTTCACTATTTTATCGAGATTGGCCATTGCTCTCCTCCCAAGAAGTAAATGTCTGCTATACTTTAATGAAGATACATAATTAGAAGTTATATTTTAAACTTTATTAATTGCACCTGAATATTACCATTTCTCCCTCACCTTCCCTCTCCTTTCTCTCTCACTGTCCTTGTTTTCCTAGGTGTTCAAGAATCTTGGCACTGAAGTCCTCAAATCTGCTTTTGAAGGTTATAACGCTTGCATTTTTGCATATGGACAAACTGGATCTGGAAAGTCATATACAATGATGGGAAATGCTGTATGTCTTCTTTCTTGTAATTTTAATTGATTTTTATAAGTGTACTGTTATGTATACAAGATAACCACTGTATGCAGTATTTACCATAAGCAGTGTTTTGGTTATCCCAATTATTCTATGTCAAATGAAATAATTTTGACATAGAATATTTGGGATAACCAAAACACTGTTTATGCTAAATAGTCAACACATTCTAGTTTGTTTTAAACATCTGATGACAAGTACTTACCAGACTGACATGATTGGGCCATTTATATTTCTGTAACTGAGATACTGACACCTTTACTTTCTGATTGTTCAATGTACACAAACTGTGTTTCAAGCATAAAATTATAAAAATTTACAATGTTTAAAAATTACTTTCAGGATATAAGATAGATATGAATCATAAATGAATTTTGCGTTTAGACTTGGCTCACATTGTGAAGATATCTTATTATTCCTATATATACAAAAACAGTTATAAGTATTCCAAAATCTGAATAAATCTGAAATCTTATCCCAATCATTTCATCATTGCCAATTTCATTTGCAGCTTTAGCAGGTTTTAAAGTTAGGTGATGGTAGTGGCATGTTTGGATAAAAGAGAAGCCAAGACCTTGAAATTCCACTTCTCTGCCTTTGAATACTTTACCTATAGTTTTTCAGATTATCGTATGAAGTTGCTCTTGTTGTTTTAGGGAGATGTTGGATTAATACCTCGGATTTGTGAAGGCTTATTCAACAGAATAAATGAGAAAACAAGATGGAATGAAGCCTCATTTCGAACAGAAGTCAGGTACATTTATATAGCAGATTCATAACTGTATCTAAAAGTGTTGTCTATCCGCTTCTACCTTCTTTTTTTGCTATCTTCCCCTCCACAAATTAGATAATTTAGTCTAGAGCAGTGATTCTCAACCTGGGGTCCCCAGATGTTTTTGGCCTACAACTCCCAGAAATCCCAGCCACTTCACCAGCTGTTAGGATTTCTGGGAGTTGGAGGCCAAAAACATCTGGGGACCCCAGGTTGAGAACCACGGTCTAGAGCGTATTTCTTCAAGTTGAGGGGTTGCCTTTGAAGACTGTTTGGGTTTCAAATAGTCCAACGGGCGGCAGCCAGATTCCTTGCCGGAGCAGCGTACAGGGAACACACAATCCTCCTGTTACTTCAGCTCCACTGACTAACAGCTTGCTTCTGAGCACAATTCAAAGTGTTTGCTCTAGCCTATAAAACCCGAAACAGTTGTAGCCCAGCTTACCTGTCTGAACGTATCTCCCTCTATGAACCATCTTGGAGGTTAAGATCATCCAGGGGGGCTCTGCTCTTGGTCCCACCCCCCTCGCAGGTGCGGCTGGTGGGGACAAGAGATGGTCATTTCAGTGGTGGCTCCTCAACTATAGAACTCCCTCCCCAACGAAATAAGGTGAGCACCCTCCTTTCCTGGCCTTCAGAAAAAAAGTAAAAACTTGGCTATGGGACCAAGCCTTTGGGCAGTAAGCAATACAAGGAATGATCAGGGATTATGTGCAATTGATATTTGATATTTGGAATGGCTTTGGACCATGAATTTTGGATTATGTGATTTTAACATTTAGAATCATGTTTTTAACTCCATGTTTTAATGTTTGTGTTTTGATGATCTAATTGATAGTTATATGTTATTGTTGTTTTATGTTAGGTTTCATATGCATGTGAAGCATTAAATTTGCCTCAGGGGAGTGTGCTTGCTCCATCAATGTTTAACATTTACACAAATGACCAGCCACTGCCAGAAGGGACAGAGAGTTTCATCTATGCTGATGATCGTGCCATCACCGCTCAAGCAGGGAGCTTTGAGATGGTAGAACAGAAGCTCTCTGAAGCTCTAGGTGCTCTTACTGCCTATTACAGGGAAAACCAGTTTATTCCTAATCCATCTAAAATACAGACATGTGTTTTTCATCTTAAGAACAGACAAGCATCTCAAGCTCTGAGGATTACCTGGGAAGGAATCCCACTGGAGCATTGCAGCACACCAAATACCTGGGAGTCACTCTGGACTGTTCTCTTACCTACAAGAAGCACTGCCTGAACATCAAGCAAAAAGTGGGTGCTAGAAACAATATCATACGAAAGCTGACTGGCACAACCTGGGGATCACAACCAGATACAGTGAAGACATCTGCCCTTGCGCTTTGCTACTCTGCTGCTGAGTATACATGCCCAGTGTGGAACACATCTCACCACGCTAAAACAGTGGATGTGGCTCTTAATGAGACATGCCGCATTATCACAGGGTGTCTGCGCCCTACACCACTGGAGAAATTACACTGTTTAGCCAGTATTGTACCACCTGACATCCGCCGGGAAGTGGCAGCCAATAATGAAAGGACCAAGATAGTGATACCTCCGGCCCATCCCCTGTTCAGATATCAGCCAGCACATCAATGACTTAAATCAAGAAATAGTTTTCTAAGATCTACAGAGATACTCACAGGAACACCTCAGCAAGCGAGAGTTCAGAAGTAGCAGGCTAAAACCTGGAACCTCAACCCATGGCTGATACTAAATGAGAGACTCCCTCCTGGGCACACAGAAGACTGAGCGACTTGAAAGGCGCTAAACAGACTCTGCTCTGGCACCATGAGATGCAGAGCCAACCTTAAGAAATGGGGCCACAAAGTGGAGTCCACGACATGCGAGTGTGGAGAAGAGCAAACCACAGACCACCTATTACAGTTTAGTCTGAGCCCTGCCACATGCACAATGGAGGACCTTCTTACAGCAACACCAGAGGCACGCCAAGTGGCCAGCTACTGTTAAAGGACATTTAATGTAATTGCCAAGTTTTTAAACTTTGTTTTTAAATACATCACAATTGTACCTTTGGTTCGCTCTTGATACGACACACACACACACTGGAATTTATAGTTTAAATCTACAGTAATATGTCTATATGAGGGTGCTTGTATGTGATCAAGTTTATAGACTGCTTTTTAATCCTGAATAACCTTCTAATTTTAAGTACATTTGTTTCACATTCCAGTTACCTGGAAATTTACAATGAACGTGTCCGAGACCTGCTGAGGCGCAAATCTTCAAAAACAAACAATTTACGAATTCGTGAACATCCAAAAGAAGGGCCTTATGTAGAAGGTAAGATTGAAACTGCCTATATGTGTATTTCCATACGTATTTTTACATCCAGCTGTATATCTAATTACCTTAAATATATTGGTTGTAAAGATAAACTGAAGTCCAGGGTAAATGAAGTTATAAAATTCTATGATCCAAGCTTGGCTCTGCTAATTTGTGTATAGCTTGTCTCTAGTCACTGTGTAAATTTTAAAGCTCTCCTCTAGTGTGTGATGTCCTGCTAATTGATTTGAGACTAATGATGGGCCTGGTTTATAAATCAAAGACACTCATGATGGAAGAGCACTTATTAGAATTTAATTGGCTCAATCCATCCCCTTCCTGTTTATGTCATAGTGTCTTGAGAGTACAAAATGTTTAAGGAGTCTGCAGATTTTTCTTCAGGTCAGCATTTACCATTCTTAGTACTCTTCTGCAAAAACAAATAAATAGGCTATCTGAAGCTCATCAGGCAGCTTCCACACTGTTGTGCCACAGTGGTGAGGTTCTCACCCTAACCACAAGCACATTCTTAATATTAATTTAGGGCTGCCTGTTGTTTAAAGTAATGAATGTTAATGAAACAAATGAGTTTTATTTAATTAAATGTGTATTTGTCTGATCTGTACTTCTGAAGAGGAAATGCTTTAATGTGTTGTCGAAGGCTTTCATGGCCGGAATCACTGGGTTGTTGTAGGTTTATTCGGGCTATATGGCCATGTCCTAGAGGCATTTCTCCTGACGTTTCGCCTGCATCTATGGCAAGCATCCTCAGAGGTAGTGAGGTCTGTTGGAACTAGGAAAAAGGGTTTATATATCTGTGGAATGAACAGGGTGGGACAAAGGACTCTTGTCTGCTGGAGCTAGGTGTGAATGTTTCAACTGATCACCTTGATTAGCATTTGATTGCCTGGCAGTGCCTGGAGCAATCTTTTGTTGAGAGGTGATTAGATGTCCTTGTTTGTTTCCTCTCTGTTGTTGTGCTGTTCTGTTAGGTTGTTGATGGTCCCTGAAATATCCAGTTCTGGTTTTGGCTGTTGCTTTCGGCTTTTGTAGAATTTTTGTTTTTGTCTGTTGGTGTGGACAGCCATGTTCTTTTCCATTTTCCTGTAAGTGAGGTTGTCTATTTTGTCCCAGTCCTGGGAATTCATCTTCTGGCTGATGTTGATGTGGAGGTGCAGCAGTTCCTTGTCTGTGTTTGCGAGTTCTTTGCGGATGGTGTGAATTCTCTCTCGTAAGAGGTTGCGTTCTAGGCGGTCATAGATCCGGTGAGCCTGTGGTGTTTTGAAAGTCCCAACAGCACAACAACAGAGAGGAAACAAACAAGGACATATAATCACCTCTCAACAAAAGATTGCTCCAGGCACTGCCAGGCAATCAAATGCTAATCAAGGTGGTCAGTTGAAACATTCACACCTAGCTCCAGCAGACAAGAGTCCTTTGTCCCACCCTGGTCATTCCACAGATATATAAACCCTTTTTCCTAGTTCCAACAGACCTCACTACCTCTGAGGATGCTTGCCATAGATGCAGGCGAAACGTCAGGAGAGAATGCCTCTAGGACATGGCCATATAGCCCGAAAAAACCTACAACAACCCAGGAAATGCTTTGTTTTCTAGTTGGACTGTTACAGCATGTGCTGTTTTAGAGTTATTTCTTCCTTTGTAAGACTGTGAATTTTAAGATTAGTTGACACCTGAAGAATATATACTAACTTACTAAAATAACTTCTTAAAATATATATGTTGCATAAATTTGGAAGGATGCCCTTGCAGTCTGTGAAGGATGCCGGCCCATTACTCATATGTGCTTGTGTTTTTATCAGACTTGTCTAAACACTTAGTACAAAATTATACTGATGTAGAAGAACTTATGGAAGCAGGAAACATAAATCGGACCACTGCAGCAACAGGAATGAATGATGTTAGCAGCAGATCCCATGCTATTTTCACAGTCAACTTCACTCAGGTAAAAGAAAGCAATTATTAGTGAATAATGGATTTTTTTTTTGCATTGAGTTATTGGTTGTCCCTATTGAAATTGAGAGACGAAATGAAGTATGGCTTTTGCCTCCTACTGAATTAAGTGGAAGCAAATTTTACTCAATGCCGAAAGAAGAATTATGAAGTCTGCAGTTTTTCTAAAATGAGAGGTACTTTGGCTGAGGCCTTGGTATAAAATCTCTTAATCTGTAGGTTTCACTTCTAATCTAAGACACATGTTTTCTGGTTGTGGCTACTGCTGTGCAGTCTCATTCACCAGTTCAAGGAGAAAATGCTGAGATGAAAATATGTTTCTGAACTTTGGATGTAATAGAGAACATGACTGAGCACAATTTAGGAAGTCTGTGATTGAATCTCGGAGTGCTTTTCATTTTTACCCTCAAATCAGAACCTGTGGACTCCATACTTGATTTGAGAGTAGCATATAGGAAGGGACATTTCTCTTCAGTCTGAATACCTCATTCACAGCAGCTATTGCCTGCAAGGGTAATTGTGGCTTTGTGGGTGGCGTTTAGACTGGGAAAATAACACAAGTGAGATTCATGCCTCTCTTTCAAGTCATATTGCTTCTCTGATCACATCTGTGTTTAAATTAAAAAGGAGCAGCAGCAACAAAAACCCACCTTGAAATCTAAAGCCAGTTTCATGTGTATTTAAGTCCTGAGATTCAACACTAGGAATAGAGAAGCAGAGAATTAATGAGTAAAGAGTGGGAAACTACATATTATTTTGAACACTGATCAGAGTAGCATCTGCATGCCTTACTCATCATCATCATCATCATCATCATATTTAATTACTTATTAATCGCCCTCCATCCGAGAATGCTCAAGGCGATTTACAGCTAAACTGTAAAGGATAAAATACATACATACATACAGAATTTAAAAATTAACAGAGATCGAATGCTCTAGTAAAAAGCCAGGTCTTAAGTGCTAGAGTAAAAGGCCCTAAGTCACACATGGCTCTCATATAGGGAGGTAAGGAATTCCACAAGGCAGGGGCAGAAATAGAAAAAGCCCTGCGTCTGGTCCTTTCCAAGTGCACTTCTCTAGGACCCGGTATATAGAGTAAGTTGCGTTGGGCTGGTCATTGCGACCTCCGATGATGGGAGAAGGAGAGGCGGTTCCCTAAGGTACGATGGACCCTGGCCATATCTTTGGGTTCTTTATTTCGAAACCCAGATATGCATGGACTCTGATTCCTCAACAGAGGCATGTTATACCAGGTATGGGCAATATAGAGCTCTTCAGAAGTTGTTGGGAGTTAACTTCTCAAGTCATTATAATCTGTGGTGAGAGAAATGATAGAAACTTCACTCGCACAACATCTGGAGGTTCACACTTTGCTCATGCTTACCTATATAGTCACAGACTGTGTGATTTTAATGTTTGGTTTTAATGTTTTTAACTGTTGGCTTTTAATGTATTTGTTGATTTTATTTGTATATATTTGTGTGGCATCGAATCATTGTCTACAGCAGTAGGTTCTCAACCTGGGATCCCCAGATGTTTTTGGCCTACAACTCCCAAAAATCCCAGCCAGTTTACCAGCTGTTAGGATTTCTGGGAGTTGAAGGCAAACAACATCTGGGGACCCCAGGATGAGAACCACTAGTCTACAGTAATGCTGCTCTGAGTCCCCTTCGGGGTGAGAAGAGTGGGGTATAAATGTGATAAATGAAAAAATAGAGGTGAACTATTCTTTATCATGCTCATATTGTAGGGTCCAGCCATTTCTGAAAATGCCACCATACTTTAAAAATATAGATGGCAAAGGGTGAGATGGCTTTCTTTCCTATTTCCTAGCAATGTTATTTATTAAGCACTTCGTGCTTTTTCCCATGATAAAGAATACATTTCTAGCCAGAAGTGACATCCTAACATTCTGATGTCCTACTTATGGCAGCCATTGTTGTTTAGATTAGGATACTGGGGAAGGAGGCTATAGCTCAGTAATTGAGTACATGCAGAAGTTGCCATGTTGAATTCTCAACGTCCCCTGACAGATAAGAAAGAATCCTGCCTGTGACCCTAGAGAGCCACTGCTAGTTGTTTTCAACAATATTGGTTTATGACTACATGTTATTCTCTGTGGGGTTGCTATCTTGTACATGTGAGTTTTCTTGAAACTTCATTGGTGTTCATTCACTGAATTTCAAGTTAAAGATCCTTTCATTAGAATCAGTGTGTAATAATAATAATAAAATAAAATGTATTGTCGAAGGCTTTCATGGCCAGAATCACTGGGTTGTTGTAGGTTTTTTCGGGCTATATGGCCATGTTCTAAAGGCATTTTCTCCTGACATTTCGCCTGCATCTATGGCAAGCATCCTCAGAGGCTAACGCAGTGCCTAAACACGAATCAAGGAACATGAATGTCACTGCAGACTACTTCAACCAGAGAAGTCAGCCATAGCAGAGCACCTGATGAACCAACTTGGATTCAGCATATCGTTTGAGAACACAGAAATGCTGGACCACTCTCACAACCACCATGTCAGACTACACAGAGAAGCCATTGAAATCCACAAGCATGTGGACAATTTCAACAGAAAGGAGGAAACCATGAAAATGAACAAAATCTGGCTACCAGTATTAAAAAACTCCAAAATTAGAACAGCACAACAACAGAGAGGAAACAAACAAGGACATCTAATCACCTCTCAACAAAGGATTGCTCCAGGCACTGCCAGGCAATCAAATGCTAATCAAGGTGATCAGTTGAAACATTCACACCTAGCTCCAGCAGACAAGAGTCCTTTGTCCCACCCTTGTCATTCCACAGATATATAAACCCTTTTTCCTAGTTCCAACAGACCTCACTACCTCTGAGGATGCTTGCCATAGATGCAGGCGAAACGTCAGGAGAGAATGCCTCTAGACCATGGCCATATAGCCCGAAAAAACCTACAACAACCCAATAAAATAAAACTTTATTTATATCCCGCCACCATCTCCCTAAGGAGACCCGGGGCGGCTTACATGAGGCCAAGCTCAACAGTACAGCAAATATACAACATAAAATACAAACAATAAAATATAATAAAAATAAAAATAAATACAAAAACAATATAAATGAACACACCAAACAATATAAAATCACAGTAATTGGGCAGAACGAATTGCAAGGATTAAAAGTTTTAAACAGTGGGTAGGCAGGCCATGTAGTGTATCAAGACAGAGGATCTGAGGGACGAAAGTAAAGTTCAGTTGCACTAGAAGATAGAGTAAATTGCTTCCGAGGACATTTTATGCAGGATTTGGTCAAAATCAGTGTTTCATTGAAGGCACTCTGGAATAGCGAAGTGTACATTACTTTTGTTTTAGAACTACTATTTATAGATGATGATACAAGTGTCTACCTAGTATACTTGCATTTCTATTACAACAAAGCAGGGTTTTTATTTCAATCATTTTAGAAACATTTTAGGAACATATGGCAACATCTTGTTTTCTCTCCCTTCTTCTATAGGCCAAGTTTGATGCTGAAATGCCATGTGAGACTGTCAGCAAAATACATTTGGTAGACCTTGCTGGGAGTGAGAGAGCTGATGCCACTGGTGCTACAGGTGTCAGATTAAAAGAAGGAGGGAATATTAACAAATCCCTGGTTACTCTAGGAAATGTTATTTCTGCCTTAGGTATGTTGTTTTAATTTGTTCCATGCTCAAATGAAAGCTGAGCTTCTTATCTTGAACTGTCTCCAGTGTAAATGTTGCCTCCTTGTTTTTCTGTTTCACAGCTGATTTATCTCAGGATGCCTCAAACCCTCTTACCAAGAAGAAGCAAGTATTTGTGCCTTACAGAGATTCCGTTTTGACATGGCTTTTGAAAGATAGCCTAGGAGGAAACTCTAAAACAATAATGATTGCAAGTGAGTGTGTGTTAAATATGTGATGTTACGCATTATTTATCGAGCAGCAGGTGCTGTTTACTCTTTACAGTAGCACTGTTTTTCCAAGAGAGCCTTAAGAATGGCTTGTTGACAGGGAGGAGAGTAGTGAAACTGGAGTCAGTACTCTACGTTGGGTGAGAAAACTGTTCTTCTCTTTCTTGGATACACCATTCCAGCAGTATCGCAGGGCATGGACTCAAGCAGTATCTGTCCTTTCATCCAGCTTGCTGGGTTTCTGATGAATTCATCTTTAAGGAAGCTGTCCCAAAGTTTGTTGCATTTTTTTTCTGCACGCAGACTCCAAGCCACAATGCCTCTTCCAAAAGTGAATGAGGAGCAGCTCATAGGATTTTGGAGGAATCATGATGACTCCAAGGCCTTGATCAGAGTTGATGGGCAAGGGACAGAGAGACAGGTCTGGGTTAAAACTGATATAGTATCTGGCTATGGGATAACAAATAAATAATGTGGCTTAAACTCCTAGCCAACTGTACTGATGAGTCTTAAGTATAGAGCATGTGCTCCACTTTAAATCCCATGGCTGCCTTCTACAAAATTCTGGGGTTTGTAGTTTTGTTAGGCCCAAAACTTCTCTAGCTGAGAATTTTAAAGGTCTCTCCCTTTAAAATTACTCATCACACTGGCAACAAAGATCTGCATAGTCAAAGCCATGGTATTCCCTGTAGTAACCTACGGATGTGAGAGCTGGACCTTAGGGAAGGCTGAGCGAAGGAAGATCGATGCTTTTGAGCTGTGGTGTTGGAGGAAAGTTCTGAGAGTGCCTTGGACTGCGAGAAGATCCAACCAGTCCATCCTCCAGGAAATAAAGCCCGGATGCTCACTGGAGGGAAGGATACTAGAGACAAAGTTGAAGTACATCACGAGACGGCAAAGCCTGGAGAAGACAATTATGCTGGGGAAAGTGGAAGGTAAAAGGAAGAGGGGCCGACCAAGGGCAAGATGGATGGATGGCATCCTTGAAGTGACTGGACTGACCTTGAAGGAGCTGGGGGTGGTGACGGCGACAAGCTCTGGCGTGGGCTGGTCCATGAGGTCACAAAGAGTCAGAGACAACTGAACAAATGAACAACAACAAACTCCCTAAATTACAAACCCCAGAATTCTACACAAGACAGCCACAGGATGTAAAATGGGAAACATACTGTATACTTCATCTTTAAAGTGTAGTGTGATTATAGATTGTGCTTCTACACTGCATCGCAGAGTGCTACTATACTGAAAACAATAATTTCTTTTTGTTATGAGTAAAGTTATTGAACTGAGAATGAATTATTTACCTGGAGTTAACTATAACCGCCCCCCTCCCAAAAACCCCCACCCATCTAGAATTTGGAGTAGGAGATGTTTGTTGACTTTAACTGTAAATGATTTCTTTATCTTTAAAATGCCTAACGATTCTTTGATATAGACACATCTGAATTGTGGCCTTATATGGATTGGGTTGTTGTAGCTTTTTTCGGGCTATATTATAGAATATAGAATCATAGAATCAAAGAGTTGGAAGAGACCTCATGGGCCATCCAGTCCAACCCCCTGCCAAGAAGCAGGAATATTGCATTCAAATCACCCCTGACAGATGGCCATCCAGCCTCTGTTTAAAAGCTTCCAAAGAAGGAGCCTCCACCACACTCCGGGGCAGAGAGTTCCACAGCTAAACGGCTCTCACAGTCAGGAAGTTCTTCCTCATGTTCAGATGGAATCTCCTCTCTTGTAGTTTGAAGGCATTTTCTCCTGACGTTTCGCCTGCATCTATGGCAAGCATCCTCAGAGGTAGTGAGGTCTGTTGGAACTAGGAAAAAGGGTTTATATATCTGTGGAATGACCAGGGTGGGACAAAGGACTCTTGTCTTCTGGAGCTAGGTGTGAATGTTTCAACTGATCACATTGATTAGCATTTGATTGCCTGGCAGTGCCTGGAGCAATCTTTTGTTGAGAGGTGATTAGATGTCCCGGATTGTTTCCTCTCTGTTGTTTTGCTGTTGTAATTTTAGAGAGTTTTTTAATACTGGTAGCCAGGTTTGGTCATTTTCATGGTTTGTTTGCTATATAATTTCACCTTGTAGTTATTTTGACCATTAATAGCAACACAGCTATTTGGGAATACTGGGTTGTTGTAGGTTTTTCTGGGCTATATGGCCATGTTCTGGAGGCAATTTTTCTCCTGACGTTTCGCCTGCTATCTATGGCAAGCATCCTCAGAGGTAGTGAGGTCTGTTGGAAGTAGGAAAAATGGGTTTATATATCTGTGGAATGACCAGGGTGAGACAAAGGACCACTGTCTGCTGGGGCTAGCTGTGAATGTTTCAGCTGATCAATGGCCTGGAAGCGCCTGGGGAGAATCTCTTGTTGAGAGTGATTTTATGTGCCTGTTTGTTTCCCCTCTGTTGTTTTGTTGTTGTAATTTTTGAGTTTTTTAATACTGGTAGCCAGATTTTGTTCATTTTCATGGTTTCCTCCTTTCTGTTGAAATTGTCCACATGCTTGTGGATTTCAATGGCTTCTCTGTGTAGTCTGACATGGTGGTTGTGAGAGTGGTCCAGCACTTCTGTGTCCTCAAATAATATGCTGTGTCCAGGTTGGTTCATCAGGTGCTCTGCTATGGCTGATTTCTCTGGTTGGAGTAGTTTGCAGTGCCTTTCATGCCTTTCATTTTTTAATGCTTGCCTATTAGAAGCCATTGAAATCCACAAGCATGTGGACAATTTCAACAGAAAGGAGGAAACCATGAAAATGAACAAAATCTGGCTACCAGTATTAAAAAACTCAAAAATTACAACAGCAAAACAACAGAGGGGAAACAAACAGGCACATAAAATCACTCTCAACAAGATATTCTCCCCAGGCGCTTCCAGGCCATTGAATGCAAATCAAGGTGATCAGCTGAAACATTCACAGCTAGCCACAGCAGACATTTTTCCTACTTCCAACAGACCTCACTACCTCTGAGGATGCTTGCCATAGATGCAGGCGAAACGTCAGGAGAAAAATTGCCTCCAGAACATGGCCATATAGCCCGGAAAAACCTACAACAACCAAGTGATCCCGGCCGTGAAAGCCTTTGACAATATTTGGGAATAGGTTTATTTCCAGGTAGTCAAAGAGCTAACATTTGGGTTCAGGGCCAGCACTGTTCCAGAGAAAATATGACGTCTTCTAGAGTTGGAAGTTTTGGAAGTTTTGACAAGAACTGCAGACGCGTGGAGTGGATACAGGGTGTGTGTGTGTGTGTGTGTGTGTTTTGGACTGATACAAGAATAGGCAGAGGAGGATTTCTTGCTCTCCATACTGGTGAGAAGCTTGGTGAGCCCAGTCTCATACTTTCCCCACATTTTGTTTTGTTGTGTCAGGAGCAACTTGAGAAACTGCAAGTTGCTTCTGGTGTGAGAGAATTGGCCGTCTGCAAGGACGTTGCCCAGGGGACGCCCGGATGATTTTGATGTTTTATCATCCTTGTGGGAGGCTTCTCTCATGTCCCCGCATGAGGAGCTGGAGCTGATAGAGGGAGCTCATCCGCCTCTCCCCAGATTCAAACCTGCGACCTGTCGGTCTTCAGTCTTGATGGCACAGGGGTTTAACCCACAGCGCCACCAGGGGCCTCCTAGTCTCTGAGTTGAACTTGTGCAATTCAATCAAATAACTGGTCACAGAGTTCTGTTTCTTTTAATCATGGCTGAATGTAACATAAGAATGTTCTGTACTTTTGTATCTGTTTATGCCCTGCTTGAAGGCAATGCCATTCATGTATATTACGCCTTTCAAATGTGATGCAGGGATCTAATTAAAAGGAAAAAAAAGATTCCTCTAAGAGCTCCCCCTTTCTTGCGACTTTCTTATCTTCCATAGGAGGGAGGTGGAAAGGTCTATGGGAAAAACCAGGAGTGGGGAGAAGGACAGGATGAGTCGCTTGGCAGTTTTGCAGCTAATTAATGGATTGCACCACAAGTGATGGAAGCTATTGAAGAATTATTTAAAATAACTATTTAAAATTACTTAATGGGGAGTATTTTGCTACATAGACTATTTGCTACAGACTGTTTCAAACTCCTGTCAGAAGACAAAAAGGGTATGACATTCTTCTAAACATGTGATGTCTTTTATTGTCTTCTTACTGGAATTTAAAACAGTTCACATTGAATTATATTATGCTTCCTAGTAAAATAATATGTAAAATATTTTTTTCTCAAATATTATCTTAATAATTGCAATAGAAAAGGACAATTTACTTTCTCTCCACCTGAAACTGAAAGGGGCGTTTAGGATTTCTATGTGAAATCAGAGGTATATATAATTCTGATTCTGAATTTAATTTCCTTAGCTATTTCACCTGCCGATATCAATTATGGAGAAACCTTAAGCACCCTTCGTTATGCAAACCGAGCTAAAAACATAATCAACAAGCCTACCATTAATGAAGATCCAAACGTCAAGTTAATTCGTGAGCTTCGAGCTGAGATAGCCCGACTGAAAACCCTCCTTGCTCAGGGGAATCAGGTTAGCTGGCACTCAAGACATGAATAGTTTCTCTGAGTGATGCCATCTGTTTCAACATCTTAAGGGAATTGATGCTTTTAAAATTATACTGACTTACATGAGTCAATCTTGTTTAATATATTCTTCTCATAACTTTGGATAGTTGATAACGTCAGTGTTGAATACCTTTTAAAATGTCTTTTACTACCTTTTACTATTTCCTTTCCCAATGCTAGAGAAAAACAGTCTTTTTCTAGTCCTAGGAGAAGGTAATAGACCTTCCTTATCAGTCCTTTAGAGAATTATCCTCATTCCTGTTCTTGTCATGCCTATATAGAGTTATCACCATGAATTATTTGCTGGGAGCTTCCTTTGTGTTATTTGCAGTGCCACAACTGGTCCCTCAATTGGCAATGCAGATAATTTCTACTAGGGCACTACATGTTGAATTTATTGCTAGTACAGTGTTACTGGTACAGATGCTAAAGTCACTCTAGTTGGCCATGTCCAGTAGTGTACTTCTACTGAATTGTGCTGTCCCTGCCAGAATTGGCCACCTTTATACTTTAAACATTTGCTGTGGAGGTGTGGGAGCAATTTTTAATGCCATAGAGCAATTTCCACTGTCACTGGTCTGCAGTGGGAGGGAAATAAACCTTATATTTTGCTGGTGTTGGGAATTGGAGCTGGGCAATATAGTTATACTCATATAGTTAACAGTTATTCTTCATAAACAATACAATTGCTTGTATTGTTGTGTTTGGGCTCGGCCTCATGTAAGCCGCACCGAGTCCCTTGGGGAGATGGTAGCGGGGTACAAATAAAGTATTATTATTATTATTATTATTATTATTATTAAACATTATTTCAGATAAAACAATGTTAATATTACTCAATTTTTAAAAAAAGTTTTCAAAGGAAGAATTTCTCTTCATCTGATCCAAGAAGGGAAGTATGTACCTAAAAGTGAAATCAAAATCCTTCAGAATGCCTTTCTTTATCTCTCAAGAGCAGGATATTTTACTGTTCTTATTCAAAGACTATTGTCATATTCACATTACGTAAATCAACCGAGTACTTAGGAAATATGAGAAAGGAATAATAATAATAATAATAACAACAACGATAATAATAACAATAACAAACCAGTAAAGGCGGTCCCAGTGGTGATCGGCACATTGGGTGCAGTGCTAAAGACCTAATAATAATAATAACAACAATAATAACACTAACAAACCAGTAAAGGTGGTCCCAGTGGTGATCGGCACATTGGGTGCAGTGCCTAAAGACCTTGGCCTGCACTTAAA